AGGTCGGAGTGTCCGATATTTTATTAAATTTTTTGTGCAGAAATGCGTGCTAAATCGAGTTCGAACACATTCTACTGGCTGCTGTTACTAGTTTTATCGGTTTTTCTTTTCTTAGCTTCCTCATTCCATCCGAATGATGAGGTACAAATGTATTATTGGGATTCATCTCGATGGATACGGAGTCCGGAACCGTGCTAATTGTTTTTCTTTTCACATATACAAAACTATTCAGAAAAGGAATAACATAATCAAACTGCTACGTCTTCTATAATTTAATAGTATATAATGTGACTGCGGCAGTGTCTGCCGTTTTTGAGCTTCGCAGATTTGAAAACAAACTAATCGTGACGGATTTGTAAGTTTTATTATTATACTACCAGCGAGCTGGTGCGCCTTCAGCGCTATTTAATCTATTTTAAAAATTCGTCGCTCAGCTCTTCACTTTCTCTTAAAAGGTCCTGTAACTCTTTTCAAAAGCCGACTGACAGCATAATTGTAACGGGCCGGGCTTTTTCCCGAATTTCGGAGGCCCGGCCCGGCGTGCCTGTCATTCCACAAGTTTTGAAAATTTCAAAAAACACATAAGGGGACCCTTTGTGATTTTTTTCGACAAAAAAATTTTTTCTAGTTTTTTAAAAATGTTTTTTGATCAAACAGACAAACAATACAAAAAGCACAAAAAATATAGAAATTGTATTGAGAGCTCAGAATTCGGTTCAAAATGACAAAATTTTTGCTACCGGGCTTTGGCGGGCCGGCCCGGAATTTTACAAGTATGACTGACAGGGGGACCAACAGGATTTTTTCTCAGACCACCTCTTTATGAGAAGAGGATTGTTTTGCAACATGTTTTACATTTTACATGTAAATAGCAACAAAAATTAAATAATTTATTTAACGAAATTAATTTGGATTATGGGGGAAATTTGTGGCCCTAAAGAGGGCCGTTGGGTTCGGTTAAGGTTTGAGGTCAAGCTTGCTCAGTTACCAAAAATGTACTTAAGCGCGCTCTCCTCGGATACGTCTGGCAAGCTGGATATCCTTTGGCATGATGGTGACTCGCTTAGCGTGGATGGCGCACAAGTTGGTGTCCTCGAAGAGTCCGACAAGGTAAGCCTCGGCAGATTCTTGAAGAGCCATGACGGCGGAGGATTGGAAGCGGAGGTCAGTCTTGAAGTCCTGGGCGATTTCACGGACAAGTGCTGGAATGGCAACTTGCGGATGAGGAGCTCAGTCGACTTTTGGTAACGTCTGATCTCACGAAGAGCAACGGTTCCTGGACGGTAACGATGTGGCTTCTTGACTCCTCCGGCAGCTGGGGCCGACTTGCGGGCAGCTTTGGTGGCCAATTGCTTTCTTGGGGCCTTTCCTCCGGTAGATTTGCGGGCGGTTTGCTTGGTACGAGCCATTGCGATAGGCTGATAATCCGATTGGGACTGTAAAGTAATGAGACACAGACGAAACCTTTTGTATCACACTGCGGTGGGTAGGCGGAGTCAAATACATTCGGCAAGCGAGAACGCGAGGTAAAATGTGTCCCCGCAGGGTGGAGGTAACTAACTCCGCCCACCCACCGCAGACAGAACAAAACCGGCACACAGACGACGGAAACTTCATCTCACTTGTGAGTCTTCATCAATCGCTCAACAATGTCCGGACGTGGAAAGGGAGGAAAAGGCCTCGGAAAAGGAGGTGCCAAGCGCCATCGCAAGGTCCTTCGTGACAACATCCAAGGAATCACCAAGCCAGCTATTCGCCGTCTCGCTCGTCGTGGTGGAGTCAAGCGTATCTCTGGACTCATCTACGAGGAAACCCGTGGAGTTCTGAAGGTGTTCCTCGAGAACGTCATCCGTGATGCTGTCACCTACTGCGAGCACGCCAAGAGGAAGACTGTCACCGCCATGGACGTCGTCTACGCTTTGAAGCGCCAAGGAAGAACCCTGTACGGATTCGGAGGATAATTTCCTTCGCATTTAGCAAACCAATCACCGAACCCAACGGCCCTCTTTAGGGCCACACATGAATCCAAAAAATATATTTCCTTGAATAAATTCTATGATTTCGTTGTTACTTATAAAACATTTCGCAAGAAAATCTACTTGTTTCCAAAACAGATTTGAGGAATCAGGTAAAACTTCGAGCGGGACAGGAATTTACTCAATTTTTCTGTGCGTCTGTTCACAGAATCTGCAACCATATCAATGAAACTTATCGACGTTTGAGGTCCTAATTCACAGATGCCCTGTACAGTTTTTCAAAACCTATTCGATTTTCCGTATCCGAATCTCAGAGCCCCAGAATATCAAAATTGCAGAATTTCGGAATCTCAGAATCTCGGAATCTTAGAATTTCAGAATCTTAGAATTTTCGAATACTGGTGTTTTGGTTTTTTCGAATTTTACAATTTCAGGATTTAAGAACTTCTGAATTTCTAAATTTCTGAATTCTGAAATTCAGAGTTCTTAATTATGGATTACTGTAGTTTCCGATTGAAAATTCGGATTAATTCATGTATTAAATTCGGAAATTCAAAAAAATTTGAAATTCTGGTGGTCTGATAATCTGAGATTCTGAGATTCGGAGGTGTCGAGAATCAGAGATTTCGAGACATCGGAATTTCTCTTTTTTTTCAATTCTAAAATTCTTGGTGTTCTGATGGTACACACTGACCTAAATCAAAAAGTCTGGCCTAAATCAAGACGCTGACCTAAATCAAAAACTACAGTAATCTGACGTAAATCTACAATTTCCGTTTTTTTATTACAAAAAATGAACAGAAACTCAGCGTGCTGACAACTTTCATGAACTCTTTTCTTATCTTATCTCCAGATCTGATCTACGGGTGCTATATAAGCTGGAGAAATCAAGGAGAAGTCGGACCGAGGAGCCGATGAAGAGTCCGATTTGTAACGAGTTTCCAGAGCAGCTGGGATGGCAAGGAATCCGATCAATTCTACGAAGACTACTGGCTTCTCTACTCAAGGATGGGATCCCAAGGAGGACGACGTTAGATGCTGCCCACTGTCAGGAAGCTTCGGATGCGCTACTCATTGCTATTTCTTTTTTTAGAACATTGATCGACGTCATTGAAGTGAAAAAAGTACTAAAAGGCCTCAGGTCGCCATTGTTTGGGGTTCATGGCTAGGTGTTTATCACTGAACGTCCCCCTTTTACCAAATGAACGAAATCAAATTTTCAAAGAAAATGAAATAGCAATTGACAGCGTACGCTGAGCTTTCTGGCAGCAAAGGAACACACCGACTTCCAACTTCAAACTTTCGATTTGCGAAAATCTCTGATTGAATTTTTTTTATTGGTTATAAATTTGTAGAAGTTGAATCCGTTTTGCTCTGTATCTAGGAACTTCTAATTTCCTCAAAAATATGTTGTAACACAAAAGCAGTGATAAAAAACCTACACCAAAAAAAGTCGAACATTGGTTTAGAGGAAACATTTCTTTTGGAAAATTTCATATTTTTTCCCAAATTTTGCAAGCTTGCAACGGCTCTAGTTGTGTTTGGTAAAGGGTATCGCTCTGCCTTTTCTAGAGATGTTTAGGTTTACAAATTTAGGACAGATTCTTGAGAAATCGAGAAATACAGTAAATGATAAAAACGAAGTTTTATTTGAAAATTGATGGATTCAGAGTAATTGTGGCCCTAAAGAGGGCCGTTGGGTTCGGTGGGGTTGCTATCGACCAAGTATTTACTTGCTGGAAGTGTACTTGGTGACGGCCTTGGTTCCTTCAGACACGGCGTGTTTGGCAAGCTCTCCTGGAAGAATCAGACGGACGGCTGTCTGGATTTCGCGAGAAGAGATGGTAGAACGCTTGTTGTAGTGAGCAAGACGAGAGGCCTCAGCAGCGATGCGCTCGAAGACGTCATTGACAAACGAGTTCATGATAGACATGGCTTTGGAGGAGACTCCAGTGTCTGGGTGAACTTGCTTGAGGACACGGTAGATGTAGACAGAGTACGATTCCTTGCGGTGGGCTCTTCTCTTCTTTCCATCCTTTGGCTTGGTGACGGTCTTAGCGGCCTTCTTGGCTCCCTTGGCGGATGGCTTTGGTGGCATGTTGGAATGTAGAATTGACAACTCTTGGGGAAAGGGTTGCAATGAGAAATATTTATTTGCGGCTGCGGTGGGTAGGCGGGGCTAATGGTTTGCCAGGTGGTCATTCGGTGTGCGCGCATAGACGAAGCATGTGTCCCCGCAGGGTGGTTAACGGCGAAGGTCACCCCGCCTTTCCACCGCGCCCTCACGTATATAAAGCTCCCACTACCCATCTTTCTTAAGTTCGTTTACGACCTAAATCGCTCATCAAACAACAATGTCTGGACGTGGAAAGGGAGGCAAAGCCAAGACCGGAGGAAAGGCCAAGTCACGCTCGTCAAGAGCTGGACTTCAATTCCCAGTCGGTCGTCTTCACCGTATTCTTCGCAAAGGAAACTACGCTCAACGCGTCGGAGCCGGAGCCCCAGTCTACTTGGCCGCTGTCCTTGAGTACCTCGCTGCTGAAGTTCTCGAGTTGGCCGGTAACGCTGCCCGTGACAACAAGAAGACCCGTATCGCACCAAGACATCTTCAACTCGCTGTCCGCAACGACGAGGAGTTGAACAAGCTTTTGGCCGGAGTCACGATCGCTCAAGGAGGAGTTCTTCCAAACATCCAAGCCGTTCTTCTGCCAAAGAAGACCGGAGGAGACAAGGAATAAGAACCTTCTTCCAAACACCCCACCGAACCCAACGGCCCTCTTTAGGGCCACAGATTCGAAATCCAAATTTTAATTGAATAAACCAAATTATCTTTTCTTACTTTCAGACTACTTCATACAATAATATACAAGAATATAAACTTTTTATCGAATTCTATATGTTCATCAGAACTCAAATGGAAATACTGTTAATAATCGACAGGCGAAACAAAATGGTATGGTGAGGATGCGAGAGAAGTGATTGAGAACCGGTGTACCCTGAACAATTGACGGTCCTCGTTCAGAGAAAGGTATTCTTGGAGCAATAAATAGGGATGAGTTATTGAAGATTGGGGATTGGAAAAAATAAATTATTAACGGCTTCCTATTTGGTGAAAACTTATGCTCTCATTCGCTGGCATATTCCCATTGCATAGCCGAGGGATCTGAAGAAATGAGTTGAGAAAAAAGAAAAGAAAAGTTAAATTTACCGTTTATGCCTGCAAATAGAACGAGTTGGGCAGCAGCATGATTGTTGAATGGGGGGCGGGCAGCAAGTTTGTACCTAAAACCCGGACTTTCACTATAAAACTTTTCCGCTGACTGATACCTGTTGGTTGCAACAAGCCATTTGTTGTGGTTGGCAACATGTAGAAACTGCTTGGTTACAGCATGCAGAAGTCTGTGGTTGGCAACACGAAGGACTACATCCTCCACCGCCGCCGCATCCTCCGCATCCTCCACCACATGAACTTCCACATCCTCCACCACCTCCGTTTCCACAAGAGCTTCCTCCAGAATTGCATCCTCCGCCACAAGAGTTTCCACCTCCACCACATCCTCCTGCACATCCACCACCGCAGTTGCTCTGTTGTTGTTGGCATGAATTGAAATTGATTGGCATACAAAGTCCTCCTTGTCGACTGAACAGTTGTCCACCACAGCATCCCGCGGGAGATGGTTGTTGAGCCGTCGGTTGGAATGGAACGAATGGAGCCGGTCGAGGCTGATATGGAATTGGTGCTGGGTATTGGGATTGTTGGAATGGAAGTGATAGCTGAAAGTGAGAAAGTTCTTTTTTATTTCAGATTTCGGGTAACAAACCGTTGGCCTTTGCAAGTAGGTTTGTGGAATTTGTTGTGGCTGTGGCAGCGGTTGTGGCTGTGGCAGTGGTTGTGGTTGAGGCACAGGGTGTGGTCTCGGTTGAGGTTGAGGGATCGGAAGTGGTCGTGGATTATATGGTCTTTGTGGTTGAATCCTTGGTGCTGGAGATGGACGAGGACGGTAGGGTTTCGTGGCAGGATTCACTTGTACTCGAATTGGTTGTGGTCGTTGGTATGAAGTTGGTTGTGGAGCAGTATTCTCTACCATTGATCCAGTTCTACAATTTATAATGTTATTAACAAAAAGGAGTCTAAGTTTTGATAGTTGCATGTTGGTCTCTTTACTATCACAATATATTTTTACCTGAAACCTCCCGAAGGTCTTGTCGGTACAACGACTTGAGGAATGTGTTCATTGTCAGAGCTACTGAAAAGGGGATGATTGACTTCAATGTAACAAATTATACGAACCACCGGTTATAACCCAAGTTAATAAAAAAAATTTAAAGGATTATCATTGTAACAAAGCACATAAAATAGCTTAGACTTCGGTCCTTCACATGTTGCCTTCCATTGTTTTTTAACTTCACATATTTGTTATAAACTCAATTCTCCATCCCTTTCTCCGTCACACCCTTATCTCACCTAATTGACTCCCCAGAGTCATCAGACTCATCTCCAGTGTTCTGGGTCTCATTTTCGTATTCTTGTTCTTCGTCTTCGTTGCTTTTTCTATTAGAAGCCTTACAATCAGTACAAGCACTATAGGTTTTTTCAAACGTTACCCGCTATTTCTGTTTTGATTCTGATTCTCATTTCGGTTCTTATTGGTATTGTGGTTTTCATTTAGATTCTGATTTTGGCCCAGATTTTGATTACGGCCTTGTGTCCCAGGTACAGGTACTATCGATGATCGATCTCTTTCGCTATAAAACATTTTTTCATGTTAAAATTTTTACAACAACTTATTATCATATCCTATCTATCTCATGCTCCTTACCCTTCTCCAAGTCCAACATTTATTTCAGTAGAGAAATCCCCATTTGCTCTTAAATTGAAAACATCTCAAACTGTTTATAATCTAACTACATTCTATTGAAGCGAAAGAAGCTATCTATTTCAAACTCTACTCTGGTTGCTTTGCATGCGAGTATAGTTCTCACCTAGAATGACTAACTATTTGTGTATATCAGAAGCATTAAATAAGCATTTGAATTTTTACAAACATTACCCTCTATTCCAGTATACATTCGGTAACTCAATTCTGTTCTTTTTCCTATTTTCGGTTTCATTTTCGTTCTCATTTTCTGTCTGATTCTTATTTCCGTTCTCAATCAGAGTCTGATTTTGGTTCAGACTTTGGCTAATACCCTCCGTCATAGGCTCATCTATTCCCGACCATCGATCTCTTTCTCTACAAATCATGAAACAGTTATTCATGTCTATCTAATTACATCATATCGTTATGATCCTATCTATCTCATGCTCCTTACCCTTCTCCGAGTCCAACATTTATTTCAGTAGAAAGATCGCCATTTGTTCTCAAATTCAAAACATCTCAAACGTTTTCTAATTTAACAACTCTCTAATTCTAACAAAACGGAAGAAACTCCGCTTTGTCTGCATATGAAATTTTCACTACTCAATACCTGTATGTCGATTCTCCAACTCTTGCTCCCGTATGTCCCGATTCGTTGTCCTCTTCTAGGTTACTGAAACTGGATTCTCCTGTATTTGACGATGGTCCAGATGATTCAGATGAAGAAGAAGAGCCTGTGTTCGATCCTTCGACAAGATGATGGTCACCTTCGTGATCTTCTTCCAAGTTGCTGAAAATAACAGTTGATGTTGGAACACATAAGGATGTTTGGTTACCTATAGCCTGATTCTCCTGGAATTGATGGTGCTGGTGTTGAGGCCGGACCATTTTCTGGAGCAGGAAGCTCTGCAACACTTCCATCACTGTGATCTTCTTCTAAATTGTTGTAGGAAGACTGGCCAGGTAAAGGCTGTGTCGCATCTATGTTGATCGTTTCTTCAATGTTGGTATTTCTAGATGTCTGTGGAGCAGGAGCTATTGCTTGAGATGGGTTTGGTGGAATTGACCCTGAAAGAATATGAATTTAGAATTCATAAAATAATCAAGTTTTACCTGTGTTACTAGGTGCCCCTCCGTCCGTAGCTATCGGTGCAGCAGTCACAGCTGGAGCGATATCAGGTCCTTGGGCTCCATAAGTGTGTACAGCTGGTTCTGGAGCAAGAGTGACAATCGGTACTGGCTCATAAGGCTGTGGTTGTGAAGGCTGTTGGGGAGCCGCTGGGAGTGGCTGTGGAGCAGGTTGTGGAGCTGGAGCAGGCGCTGGTACGGATGCTGGCTCAGGGCCAGGTAGAGGAACAGGTTGTGGGGCAGTCTGCGGGGCGGGAATTTCGTATCTATGCTCAACTGGTCCTGGAGATGGTTGTGAGGCTGGCTGAGGTTCTGGCTGTGATGGTTGGGGAATTGGTTGAGGTGCCGGCTGTGGAGCAGGAGCAGGAGCAGGCGCCGGAGCATAACTCTCCGGAATTGGTTGTGGGCCTGGCTGGGCTGGTTGACGAGCTGGTTCAATTGATGGTCCAGGTGTTGCTGGAAGAAATCCAATAATTATTATAATTAAGTTTAAAGGATATAAATTTTTGTCAAAATGAAAACTGACAATATCTCACCTGACTGTTCGATAGCTGTATCAACGGTACTCTGATATTCTGGAAACACTCGGATGAGGAAACAAGGATCGAGTGATAATCGAACCGTGCGAAAACGTGCTTTCCAACAAATAAAATATATGTCACCTACCTTCAACATGACCTCCTTCCGCTGGTTGTGGTGGATTCAATGGCTCATATGGTCCCTCTTCAGTTTCATGTTCTCCTGGAAAAAATTTAATTGATGGAGCGGAACTGATAACGTTAAATATTACTAGACGTGGACGTAGTAGTAACAACAGGCTTATGTGTGTCAATGTCTGTGTAATCAATCGGTGCAGGTTCAGTTGGTGCAGGTTCAGACGGTACAGGAACAGATGGTGACGGTGCAGGTGGTGCCAGTACAGATGGTGCAGGTTCGGATGGTGCAGGTCCAGACGGAGCAGGTCCAGACGGAGCTGAAGCGGAAGCAGACAATGGTTGTGACACAGAAGTAGCGACTGCAGGTAATGCTGGAGCTGAAGGTGCTTCCACAGATGGTTCAAACGGATCTGGTGCGGACGGTGCTGATTCTGATGGTACATATGGCTCAACTGGTACTGGAGAAGCTGGATCAGGTACACTAGGTGCGGGTGTAACGGATGGTTTGACTGTAAAGTGTGGTGATGAGGTCACTTCAATTTTTTGAGAAACTGAGGATGGATTAGAAGGCGTTTTAACTGAAGCAACAGAAGAAGGAATAGCGTGTTTTGAACTCAAATATGCAGGTTTTTCTTCCGATTCCCTAGACTCTGTCGATAATGCCCATGGTGGAATAGCCGACGGCGGAGCAGTTGGACGTTTTTTGGTTGACGATGGAGAGGATGAAGAAATTGGTAAGGTTGCGGGAGGTACTGGACCAGAAGCAGACGTTGCAGATGTTGGAGAAATTGTTTTTAGTGTTGAAATATACTTCGATATCATATCAGGAGTCCACAATCCAGCAGTGACCGAAGCAACTGTCCCTTCAGGTAGAATACTTATATCCTCTTCTTCAGAATTTTCAGAAGAATCATCAGTTTCGATGAAGGTGTTTGACGGTAGAACAGAAGATGGCATGGGCTCAACTTTCACCAGAATCGGGGTTGGTCCAGATGGGAATCCAAAGGAAAGAGTGGTTAAAACAGCTCCTGGTGCGATGGTTTTCGGACCAAGTGGAGGTGTAATTCCAGGTCGTCGGGAAGTTGTGGTAGGTGGACGAGTTTGTATTCTTGGTGTAGAGGATGGAACTATTCGAGAAGTTATTGTAGCGGTTGGAGGAGCCACAGGAGGATTCAACGTTTTTGAAGAAACTACAGCAGAGGGAGGTGTTGCTGAAACAGGATTTGGATTGTATGTCATGGGTGATGATCCAGAAGCAGTTTCAGAATCTACGTATTCTGTGGATGTCATGTATTCTGAAGATTCTGATGTAGTTTCAGCATCAACGTTGGTAGGTGTTTTGGTTTGTGAAAACTTCGATGAAGCAAACTTAATTGACGGTGCTGAGTATTTGGGTTCACTCGATGATGGATTCGACACCGTTGGTATCAAAGTTGGAAATGGTGTCTGTGGTTCTAGAGTTTTTGAGGCTAAAACCTCAATCAGTGATCCAGTTGGTTTTGTCACAGTCCCTGTTGAACTAGATGTTGGTAATGTTACAGAAGAAGATGAAGACATCGAAGAGGGAGGATTTGTGTACATAGCCATGATCCAATCAGGAATAGTCGGCGGTTTATCAGCTGTTGAAATCGTAATGATCGAAGATGAACGGGTAGTTGTCTCAGATATCGGTTCAATGGGAGAACCAGTTGAGGCAGCCGCTGTTGGAATCGGTACATCAACATCGTAATCCTCTTCCAACGGATCCATTGGAGTACTTCCATCAGTTGTAGTAGGCACTTGAAAACCAGAACCAAATGAAGGTGCATTTCCTGAGAGAGATTTCTCGAATTCCATTGGTGGAACCGCGCTCATAAATCCGTTTTCGGATGTTGCGGATTTTGGAAGCTCGGTGGCTGCAGATTCGGGCGAAGATGATCTCACAGAAGGCAACGAAGCAGATGATCGTAGTTCAGGAGATAGTGGAGACATTGTTCGAGGTTTTGGTCCTAAGTCGTACGAAGTAGAAGGCAAAAATGCTGATTCTGGTGCTGGTGTCGACGATTTTTTTGAGTTAGAAGGAACCACCGGGTTCCCAACTGGCTCTTCAACTGATATCATCTCTCCGGAGTTATCTAGTGCTCCAGTTTGTGGAGTTTTTGTATTCTTGTAGGAGGACGATCCAGAAGGTGGTAGCAGTGTCTTAACATCTGATGGATTTGGTTTTTCTGGTGTCGGAGCTTGTGAAGTTCCGGCAGAAGGTGTTGTTGGAGATGTTTCTTTCTCCATCTTCAGAGAATCTATAGTTTTTAAAAACTGTGCTGATGGTGGAATGGCAGATGGGGGATGAGTTAGTTTTCTAGTTACAGTTGGCATAGATGAACTGACAATCGGAGTCACCTCCTCTCTTGGATTTGATGTGCTTTTAGAGACACGTGATTCAGTCACAAAACTCGGAGACGTTGAACTTTCCACAAACTCCACTGCGCTATTTGGAGGCGTCACTTCCCCATCAAACTCTGTAGTTGGGTTTTCGGATGGCGCTTCAGTTGTTGAAGTGGAAATTGCTGGCGGCTTCGAAGAAGTGGTTGGCTCAGATGGAATGGAGAAGGATACCGGGTACACGGAAGAAGCTCGTGGAGCTGGAGTTGCTTCCACTTTTCCTGATTTAACTCCAGTTGTAGTTTCAAAAGATGACGGATCAACTGTGACAGCTTGAACAGATAATGGAGATTCCGTAGCAAATGTTGCAAAAGAAGGAATAATTGAAGGTGGACTGGCTGCTGTTTGTTGCCTAGTAGTTAGAAGGGCATTATCTCCTGTTGTAGGTGTTGGTCCATTCTTTTCAATATTCTCAACCCCATCTTCTGTTTGATCGTCGTCTTCTTCTTCTTTTGATAGGGGACCAAGTGGAACGGCCGACGATGGAACATACGAAGAAGATGCTTGTTTGATTTTTATCTGTTCAAGTGGTGAAGGTGAAATTGCAGGAGGTGCTGGTTTCTGCTTATGAGAATTTTTACTCGTCGTTGCAAGTACTGTTTCTTTGGACAACAACTCAGGTGGTAGTACTTCTGATGGTTGATTAGATGGTGGGATGTCTTCCTCTTCAGACAAGTTATCAGATGGAAGAACAGATGATGGCATTAGGCCAGTGGTGGTGCTCATTGGAACTGAAGAAAAATATCAAGTTAGAAGCGAAGCAACAAAGGGAGGAAAATGAAAAACAGTAAAACAAAAAAAGCTGTGCAATATAAGTGATCATACCTGTGGTGACGTCGGTTTTGGAAATGTTTTCAACCGAGTTTTCAGCAGAAACAGAACTAATTTCAGGGCGACGGTCAGATGGATTAACTTCTTCTTGACTATTATCCACTTCTCCACCTTTATCTTCTACTTCAGAATAAGTCGATTTTGGTGGTGGGAGAGCAATCAGAACAGGCACCTCCGGAGCTGGCGAAGGTCTTTCTCGAACGACTTCTGGTGCTGGGCCATGAGATGAACTCGATGGTTCTGGTCCAGTCGGTGGTGGCCCTTGTTCTGGTACAGATGGCTCTGATGGCTCAGGACCAGCTGGTGGTGGACCCTGTTCTGTCTGAGATGGTTCGGATGGCCGAGACGGTACTGGTCCATAGGATGGTGCAGATGGCGCAGGCTGTGATGGTGGTGAAGGTGCAGTTTCATGCGGTGTTTCGGGTACAGATGGTTGGTATGGAGTTGGCTCCTGCCGAGGTGGAACCGGGTTGAAGTTTCCAGAAGGACCAGGTGCTGGTGGAGCAATTGGATTTGGGCCGGTGGATCTTGACGGTGTCACCTCAGTCATAGCAGGGCGAGAAGGTGCCGGTGCAGGTCCAGTTGAAGTCCGAGATGCAGAAGGAGCAGGACCATAAGATGTTTCTGGGGAAGATGGTCCAGAAGCAGCCGGTTGCGGCGGTGGTGGCTGAGACGGTCTCGATTGTTCAACCGGTGATGGCTCAGCTGGTTGAATCTGGGATGGACCTGGTGGCGGTGGCTTTGGCTCATAGTCTGTGGATGGTCTAGATGGTGCTACAGGTTTAACAGGAGCAGGCAGTGAAATTGTGACAGGATCACGCGTAGAAGGAATCGGAGGAGATACAGAAGGAGCAGAAGGCAACTCGACAGAAGGAGAAGGTGAATATTTGGAAGAAGAAGCTGGTGGAGGAGGAGGAGGAGGAGGAGGAGGAGGAGGAGGACGTTCGAGTATTTTCTCGTCAATCTTATCATACGTGGTTTCACTCGATTCACCTGGAGCTACAGGTAAAGTCTTTGGAGGCTGATATGGACCAGACACCGATGGAAGAGGCTCAATCGGCGGGAGTATTTCTTCTTTTGGAGGTACTGGAACAGTTCCTGGTGCACACGGAAGACATTGGAGTTTTGTATTTCTGGATTCAGCAGCTGCATTATCAACAGTCAATGCATTGACGTAGGAAGTCGACCGTTTGTTGGCACTGCTTACTCCTGTAATCAATGATTCACGTGCACCATGCCCCACCATTGAACCTAGAACCCCAGCTGGGAAACTTATCGAAACGAGATAAAAAAGATAAAGAGCAAGAAACCAGCAATTTCAAAATAAGGACCGACCCAAAGTATAACAAAATATGAACTCACCATTTGGCAAAGTGTTTTTCTTGAATGGTTGAGATTCATCGAATCCATCATCGTCTGGCTCTTCTGAAAAGAATTTTATACATTGTTGAAAAGTGAGACAGTTTTGTGCGTTTCTAATTTTGTGATCTTCTAGATATCTGTGTGATTTCTAAGGAAGTAATTGTGAAATTCAAACTTTAGGCTAAAAGAGAATCGAGAATTGATTCCTGTAAGTTAGAAATACTAGTTCTGTGAATTTTGGTAAGTTATCAAAGTCAAAAATTGGGTAAGAGCAAGAACAGTTATTTTTGGACAAGGTGATTTCAATAAATTCAAAAACTGTTAGTTACCAAACACGGCAGTCACAGAGTTCTCAAAAATGGGCGGCGCTTCTGGAGCCTTGATCGTGAATGCTTCATTAACTTCCTTCTTTTCGCTATTATTTCCGATATCTGCTGTTAAATCTTCGTTGGTTGGATCTTCTGGAGGATCAGAGGAAGTTGGAGGGATGGTTTGAGCTTCAGTGGTAATTTCTTCTGTAGTTGTAGTCATCGTGGTGGTAGTAGGAGTAGTAGTGGTTGTTGTTGTTTCCGCTGTTTTTGTGGTTATCGTTGTAGTCTCAGTTGTAGAGGTATGCCTTCCAGAATCTCCAGAATCTCTTCCTGATCTATCCAACGGAGCATCTCCATCAAAATCTCCACTCAAAGGAGACAATGCTGTCATCTCAGGTGGTATGAAACCAGGAGGCCTCATGTCGCCAGCATGTCTTCTAGAAGGAGGCGAAGGTAACCTTGGGTAAGTTCTTGGAGGAGGAAACGGATGACGTGGAGGATTAGGACGAAACAGGGGAGGTGGAGGACGTTGAAACGGAGCTCCAGGTACGGAACCAACTTCATTGATTAGTGTTTGGGGCATGGCAGACAGACCTGGTTAGAGTTAAAGTTATCAAGTAATTAGGAAAATGTAAGAGTCATAATACCATCGTATCCATCTGGAAATACACCTCCGTGGTTTGATGACTGTATTGATTGCCATGCTTCTAGATTATTGCCTGAAGATTTTAGTTAAAGTTTTGAAAAATACATGCAAGAAAATAAAATTAAGAATAGGTTTTAATCAATCAACAGAATTTAAGGAATTAGCCTCACCTTCATTTCCACCTTCATATCCACTTGGTTGGAGATGGGTAATCTAAAAAAAAATAATATGTCGTAGTCTCTATTATTTACACTCACATGTTTCACAACTCGTTTCGTTCCGTCATGTTTCTCAGAAGACGTCAGAAGTTCCTCCGATTGCACTTTCATTTCTATTGATGCTTCAACCGCTGGCTCTGTAAAACGGTTGACATGAATCATTGTAAACTGATTACCATTTAAAAGAAGGGCCCCGTACTGTCAAGTTTCTACTAACCTTTCTTGGCTCCTATGCAAGATATCAAAAAAGTGTGGACTAATAAAATGTTTGTGATATTATGATACACATTTGATCAGTTGGCAACTTTTAATATATCTTTTACAGGAACCGAGATAATCTCGATCAAAATTAAGGGACCCTTTTACTACAGGTTTTATGGTATGAGTTTCATAAATAAATAAATCCCGAAATATAATGCTGCCAAAACGATAAAGGTTAATTCAAACTTACGATCCAAATCTTTCGAATCGTCGGCACTCAACCAAATATTAGGAGATATTGGTGGTTTAGCAGTTATCACAGTAACAGATTCTCCTCCAAAACTCCTTGATATGTAATGAGCACGGTTAACAGAAGATGCACCCAACACGAATACTAAGTTAATTGGGTTATGGAATGAGTAGAAACATAATATGGATTAGAATATTCAAAACTGAAAAAAAATACAGTAATCTAACCAACCTAGATCCGAAAAGTCTCTTCTTCCAACTCGCCGGTCTGGTGGAGGAGAATCGTTCAACCATGCGGATCTTTTTGGTTTCCATACTCCGTGAGCCTGAAATTCAAGCAATAATGACTGATATCATCTTAAACCGAGCTCACTGTATTTGAAGAATATTCTGCCGGAGGGACTCGAAATCTGAAAACACATTATCATTGTTGCATTGTTATTATTTCATTCATTTTACTTTTAATATGAACCATTTAGTGTCCAGATATCTAATAACTAAATCTAATAACTTTTACAAATCTGCTACATATTTCCTTAATTCTATCTGCATCAAATCTCTATTCTATATTCTTTTCTATACATCCTATTTCCCACCTTTACCAAATCCGTCTATTCAGCGCTTTCTTATTATCGTTTTCATCTAGAATCCACTACTAATTTATTCGTCGAAACCGTTTTTTGTAACTTTAATTTATACTTGGACCGCTGCTTGATCGCTTATACCAAAAACCGCTAGGCATTTTCTTCGAGAAGACACAGATTAGGAGACATGTTACATTCAGCTACAAAGGCGACTTTTGTCCGTTTTGTGGCCGATTTGAAGAAAAAGAAAAAGAAGGGAGATTTCAGCAGTAAAAAGGTCATTATTAGTATTCATGATTGTTTATGGCGCGACGCCGTCGTGCTTCTCTTTTCATATGATCGGTGGGAAAAATGAAGGAAAAAAGAAGAAGTGACTTAAAAGCATTCATGTTCCTGTGTTTGCCATTCTGTCATTTGTTCCGTAGAATGAATTAGGATACATATGGACTGGAAATTTTGGATAAATGTTTCTTTATGTAAGTTTTCGTACATTGTTTTGTTTTCACAAAGTTGAACAAAAAGATTTGACCACTGAGCGGATCGAACGCCCAACCTTTCGATCTGGAGTCGAACGCGCTACCATTGCGCCAAGCAGTCACGAGAACTACAGAAATTTATTGCAATCACAACTTGGCAGATTGATATACGTTAAAATAAATTGATAACAGTCAACAAGGACGAAAATGGTCTGTACTTTGTCACCTTCTCTTGTTTACTAGCTTTTCTATTTCGACTTTCAAAAGTTACTCTGTGTTTCCCAAATCTGCTAATCCAACTTAAGAAAAAAAAGCGAACGGCTGATAATCGGAGAAGAGACAAAGTGAGAGTTGTTTTGGCCAATTACCAGTTTTCGGATGAGAAGAAGAAAAAAGAAGAAGAAGGAGAAACCGCTATATCTGATCAACATTGCTATCGTATTCGGATCGGCGCCAAAATATTCGCGCATGCCATGTCAAGTAAAGTCATTTGGTGGTTCCGATTAAAACTACATGCTTCTTCTCGTTATTCTGAGTTTTTGGCGTGTTTCTGGCAGAATGCGTGATTATGGAGAGAACGTTTGAATTGGGGGAAAATTAAGAGTCAAGAGGAGAGAAAGTTATTTGATGGGGGTGGATATTTGGATAGACTCTTGACCACCGAATAAGCAGAAACAATGGAAGAATGAAACCAGAAGGCTGTGGAGGGCTTGAGAAAAAACACATAAAAATTATCAAGAGTGATAACATCCATTAACAATTTTGAAAATTATAGCTCTCATGCCAAGCCCCAATAAAGTTAAAGCTAACAAAGTTAAAGCGGAACAAGTGGAATTATAAAATATGGAATTAAGATTTGAGTTCTTTGGCGACTCATCGCTTTTTCTGGACTCATTCAGAAGATTGAGAAGAATGCTTTGGATACTCATTTCGAAGAACATGGTCAAAATGCAAATGGCTGTGAAACGAGAAAGAACTTCTTGGGTGTTGAAAAGACATGCATAAAAGAAGACAAGAAACGCCGGAGGGATAGTTCGAGTAAATTAGGGGTAATAAAAAAGTAAGTATTTATTGCGTAAGAAGGGAAACGTACTCGGCATTCTGTTGCTGCTGCTGAAGGTACTGACGGGCCGCCACGCCAGCGACCGTCAGTGTTAGAAGCACGAGACGACGCATTCGTGATTCAGATGCTCATATACCGGGGGGACACTTTGGAGTCGGTCTCTGAATTAGCTTATATGATTCTACAGAAGAGGTGACGCTTCAAAAGGAGGGGAGACGATAGGCAATGACCGTCGAAAGAGGAGGGCGTGGACTGCCCCCTTAGGCTGTTCATGTAGAATAAGAAGGAGTAGAAGAAACGGAGGAGAAGAACGGAAGGAAGAAAGAAGCTGTGGATGCTACTAGTTTGCTGATCTGATGCGACGATATTGTAATGAAGAGGACGATTCAGAGCGAAGTCAGAGAAACAGACAGATAGAGAGTAAGTCTTTTTTGAAATGGAATGGAATGGTTTTGGAAGGAAAAGTGAAAGATTTTTACAGGAAAAAAGGAAAATCGAAGACACAACAACAACAACATGATTATTCAGATGAGGATTTCGAGCGAGTCTTTTCATGCTGATAACTGTACCTAGTTCGAGAGGATAATAGCCTGGGCTAGATATGCTGAACTCGGGTGTTGATCCATTATGGAGTCAAAAAAGGCTGAAAATGTTCGATGCTCATGAGTGATGGTGTTTAAGGTGTTTCAAATATACCATTATAGAGTTTTTAGAATCTTCACACTGGCATTTCAGAGTTGAGCTCTAATGTTGGTCTACGTTGTGACTGGAAAATTATAGAAAAATCAATTCACAGGCCGACGTTACCTAACTTAAAAATGAATGATAAAAGTTAGCGTTTGAAACAATTTACAAATAAACAGGAAAAATCGAATTTTTTTATAACCTCAAATGTATTCCATCCATCGTCGTGTTGCCCTTTTTGGAACCCCATGAAATCGTTAGAAATCGTGAAATTAAAGGAGACCATTTCATATTTCGGATTAATTGGCTTGAAACATTGACTCGATTTACTCGAGCAGCTTTTTTTCATTCCCTTTGTCTCTATTTCTCTGTATCTACTCCATCCCTCGTATCCTAAATCTGACCTCTCTTGATCAAAGACATCCAGCTTTCAATCATCGATGTTTTCTTTATTTATCTTCCTGTAATACTGACTGGTTGGTGCCATCTTGGTCACTTTCTAATGTGGCATCACTTTTTTAAACGATACACTGTTTGCCTGCAGGAACACTATACACTACCAAAAATCTAATGCCTGCCATCCCATCCGTGAAATCCATAAAACCTCTTCTCGTTTCGATTCTCGAAGTAAACGAAAGTTTTTATTTATTTGTTTGTTATTTTTCTCCATCTTGTACACCTAATTACATCATCGGCTAACCAAACAATGATTGTTGTCCACCGATTCCTTTTCGTTTCCCCTATAATTCTGCTTCCATATTAAATCAGGATTGTGTCATCCTTGTCTTCTGCCATGGACGACACATACACAGTCATCGTACGTTCATAAGAAAAGTGAGGATATTGCCTAATAGAACTCGTAAAGTGTATCAATTGCTACCGACTGGTTTTTTACATATTATCAATGGTTTGTTTCTGTTTTCTCCATAGATGTCGCCGCTTCGCGTTACTTTGTTCCTTCTATCAACCAGTGGATCGGCTTAATGGATTGACGAGTTTCATGTGGTTGACCAGGCTTCTACAAAACGTGACGTACATCGTATATATGACATACAACTGTTTCCTACGATGATTTCCTATCTGAAGCTTATAGCTATAGGCTTTTAGATCATACGGTGTCTGGAAATATAGATCATACGGTGTCTGGAAATGTTAAGAGAAAGAGAAACGTCTGATCAATGAATCATACAGATCGGATGATGACATCTTTTCAATTGAACGCTTATTGAATACTGTGAATCCATAGCTCTAAGTGTTACTTCCTGCTCTTTCAAGAAATTTGGCAACTACGAGAATAACAAATGTGCAGAAAATTTAGAGTCAGCTATCTTTGGAACACACTTTCCATAAAGCTGTCAAACTCTTCTCAACCCTTTCATAGATTATTGTAAATCGGAGATTCGGGTCTGAAACCGCAGGCCCAGGATCCAAGGGTACATCGATGGTACACCGAGTTCTTATGGTACATTGGTACCAGAGATGCACGGACAGTCCGTTGTCCGTTGTCCGTGGAAATTTTTTTGTCCGTCAGTTTATCAGAGAAATTGGAATTAAAAATTTCTGTCTCAGAAGGCAGTTAAAATGGTGGATAAGCCCAGTTTCCCTTTGCACCACCATTTTCCATCGTTAATTTGCATTTTTGTCATTTTGATGGGAAAAACTCGTTGATTTTGAAAAATTTTGTCCGTTGTCCACTGTCCGTGGTCCGTTGTCCGTCAATTTTTGGGTTTCCGTTGTCCGTTGAAAAAATGTTTGTCCGTTGTCCGAACAAAAAAATTTCGCTGTCTGTGCATCTCTGATTGGTAACAAGGGTACGTAGGACTTCGATGTATACAAGGGAAGACGAAAAAAAAAATTTTATAGGCTATTTTGCGTTGAGCTCAAAATTATAGGCTTAAATTAGGCTCTACACCCCGAGATCCCATGTTCCCCTTGAACCAATTTACCCTAAAAAATTGAAGTACCCTCGATGTACACTTTTTCGATGTACCGTTGGATGATGGCCCATTATCTGACTTTCATTTACTCGTAAAAAGGGAAATCTTTTTTCTTAATTGCTTTGGTCAATTCGCAATCCACCAACCGTGACCAATGAATGCTGTAAACCTATAGTATCCCTGTAATCTGATTCCAAAAACGTCCCGCAAAAAAGAAAGTAACATCTGTACTGTTTCACTTTTTCCATCAAAAACACAACACTTTATTTGTGGAAAAGATGAAGTAAAAGCAAGATAAGAAAGTAGGAGAAAACCCGGTTTTCAGAGAAAGATTTGCATTTTATTCCTATCGTTTTCAGACGTCATAACTCTCACGGAACCGTTGAATGTCATAGATTTCTTTAGTTGAAAGCGAAGCTCGAGCCATTATCAGCGATTGGAGTCCATAGTTTCTGATCTGAAAATAGATCAATGTGATACTGTAATAATCAAAATAATCAAAATTGAGGATTAGCAAACACAACTGTATATTTACTGTTAGCAAAAAGTGATCTAAATCTGCTTCTATCACTCTTTCTATGGATTAATCTCGAAAATAGAACTAGCTTCTCTGAAAACTGATTAAAAAACCAAACGAGTGTAAGCAACAGAGAGCACGAAAAAGTGCTAGTGGAATTGATAAGGGAATCACAAGCGATATTTGATATCTACTATCATTTTCAAACCTTTTCAGCATTTTAATCCAAGTCTTTCGGAAGACTTTGTCCATAGTTGTGTCATTTCTTGCTGAATTGAAGAAGAACAAAACAGTTTAGATTTCTACTCTTGGATCTACTCTGTGTTATGACCTACAAATCGTTACTATCACTAACCTCAAGCTTCGGAGTTGGTTCGTTTTTCGGAAACAGTCTTTCTGATTCCAACTGATGATCATAGAGCTTTTTCCGTTGATGATTGTCACATAAAACACATGGACAACATCTACAGCATTGAGTTATCAGGTCACAGAATTTGCGACGGACCTAAAAATAGACTTTGAAATTATTGCAGAAATAGAAACATCTGCAATACCTCTACTCGTATTTGTCTATCATTAATCGTATAAATGGGTAGTCGGAGAGCACATGCAGCAATCGGAAGGAACGATGATACGTCAGAAAGTACTGTATATAAAGAAGGAAGATCTTGAAGACTCTGGATATTGACAGTCTGGAAACTTTCAAGGGTTAATGAAGCCCAAATTTCTGAAACTTGCCTCCCAGAATGCAATGATAATATCCAGAATATTAGCTAAAAGATATCCAGTTACAACCATAACCAACATTCGAGTAACTGCTCTCAATCGAGATCTCAGCCTTGTTACTTCTCCTCTGAAATATTTTCGATTATTCGATTATTTAGGTTTTCAAGTGAATTGATTGCAGAAACAGTGAAAAAGTGGTATAGAAATGATTCGATTCGTTCCAAATCAGAGAAACAGACCGCGGTGGATAGTGTGATGAGAACTTTCATTTGGTCCTACTTTCTACTGTTTATAAAAAAGGCGCTCTTTGATTTTCAGTGAACCGTGAATCTATTCAAAATCTATATTTTTTCTAATAAATACACACTTGAAATTACTTGAATAATTTTTGAAAAGTCTCCTTCGCATCCAACCTAAACATACATTTGCATTCACTTTGTAATCATTCGTTTTGCTCATTTTCTGGACATTTGGGTTACCATGCTACCTCAATTTCATGCTGAATATATTGGAAATTAACGAAAGAAGGGTAAAATGTGGGGAAGAAAACTGAGAGAAAGAGGGGAAAATATAGACGGAAGAAGTGTGGAAAACACGGAGAATCGACGGAATAAAAATTACCTTCGAACGTTTCCAAGAGGGCTGAAATGGATCGGGAAATGAGGGAAAATGAGAAAATGATTAAAATGGGTTAGGGTAAAAAATTTAAACTAATAATAATTCAAAAAAAAAATCTCCGAAAGTTCAAAAAAAAATGAAAGCCTACCTCGTTCCAACAGTGATAAATAGAACCAGTGCTTTCACAGTTTGATCTCTGTCAGTTCTCCGAACATTCATCACAATTGCAGCATTGAAATATGCGAGGACTGAAAAGATAAGAGGTTTTCAGAAATCTAAAATTTCAGTATTACCTGCAAAAGGTAGAAAAACTGTGACAATCTTTCTGACGAAGAATCTCCATACAACATCCATATTTTCTCCAAACATTGGAACAACTGCCAAACCCATTGATGAAAATCCAGTACAATTTGGTTGGGTTACAACCTAAATAAATATGAACCATTCATAAACCGTCAAATTAAAAACACCTCAATTTCGAAGAAAACCGTTCCACGAAAAATGAAGCTTGCCAGGAAGCAGCAGAAGACCACATACGTTCGATGGGTAGCGAGAATTTGGAATAGTTTTAGTGTTCGGTTATCAGCTGTACTCTGAAGATATCTCTCGATTGTTGCAGCCATCAGAAGAAATGAGGCAGCTGATAATGTGATATGGGAAACTGTGAAGGCAGCACGAAGATATTCGTGCCAAAGCACCAAGAGGTTGAAAGACTCGAAAAAATCAGTGTAAACCTAAAAAGTAAAACCTGAGATAATCAGTTCAGGATGGGAATTGGCTACCTGTACACACATAATTGCAATATAACATAGGGAAATGAAAACATCACATCCTGAGATCCACATCAAGTACGTTAGATTCCTTTTCCGAAGTACTGTAGATGTATTGAATGTGTAGAAGAGAAGGGAATTGTGGATTATACTGATGAGTGCCACGATGAGTCCGATGATTCCCACGAAAAACATTTTCCACTCCAAGAAAATCGGAGGAGAGTATTCGCAGTCATCAGGAATAGATTCCTCGAAGACATCTAAGCTGATGTTGTTGCTATCCATTCATAAACCTAGAATTTTGGATTTTGATCAAGGGCGTTCAAAACGAGACAGACGTCTGGAGCATAAAGTTCGGAAATGAGGGTGTGACGGGTAGTTGAAAAAGGAAAAGCAGAAGAGAATTTGTCCAATTGGTAGGTCAATAGGTCTTTTTTGACAAAAGGTGAGAAAAAACTTGTGGAAACGGAAAGAAATAAATGGGTAAAAGAGTTGAAGAAGAATGCAGTTAGTTAGGATTAGAAAAGGAAGAAAAGAAGTCGACGTGGAGTTAGTGTAGGTGATGTGATGGGAATACGTGACTCCGAAAGGAAATGATTGTGGAAGGTACTGGAAGAATGTAATCATGGAAAATGGATGGGATCCGATGATGTACCGTAGATTTTATGATGGGTCTTCTAGATTTCTAATCTCTGGAAAAGGGGGTCACGAAAAAAAAGGACAGAGGAGAGTGCTCAAGGAATGGGTGCAATAATTGCTTTTGTTATTTTTTTTGCCATCGATGTGTAAAGAGAACATTGGCACATCATTCGAACTTCTGTGGAATGCTGTTGCGCATTAATGAGAAGATGACGTGGCGAAGTTTTATTTCCGCAACAATCCATTTAGAGGTAGGGAAAATCACCTGAAATTTGTGAGGAATTTGAATTTTTAACTTCCTAAAACTTCGACATGTCCCTTTCTCAATAAAGCGCAATAGCATACCACAGCAGTTCCCTGTGCATCGGAACTTTCGTTAAAATTCGAAACATCTTATTTGAAAAGACTATTTCGAGAAGTGTGGATTTTATTAACTAAACATGTAAAAAAAAGTACATGCATAAGCAATGGCATTCTGACTAATGAGAGTATCCTAAAACTTTTTTCATCTCCCGTTTTCTTCCATTTTCTTTCTTTTTTCCTTTTGTTGAAAGAAAAAAAGAAGAAAAAGTTAATCAACGTCTTCCAGAAATGTTTGCTGTATTACACAAACATAAGAATCTTGAGACACACCGAAAACTATCAATCTTTTTCTTTCTTCAGGACTTCTTAGTTTTTCTCCTATTCGAAGTGCTATCAGATTTCTAGAGAGATTCGATATTTAGAATCTTATGGGAGAAGTTTTTGTTTTTGATAGTTTAAGCTTACTTTTATTTTCTTGAAAACAGAAAACATTTAGATAGATAGACAAATAAATAAAAAGGATACTCGAAAATAGAGGATCGAGAGTATGAAGAAAGCGGAAAGAAATGGAGACGAGATGTCTAATTGGAAGTTCATGGCACCGACAAAAATGAGGAAGTATGTCTAGAAACAGTGTTGGCTAGAATCGTGGAAAAACTGAATTCAAGGTTTATTTTGGATTTTTTCAGCTGTTGGAATGTACTTGGAATCATAGTCAAATAAATGAAAGCATTATTTATTCGACCAGATTATGAGGAGCGAAAAAATAATTTAGAGATGTACGGAATTCGAGAAGGCAAGAAAAGTCAGAGCAAAGGCAAAATGAGAGAAGAGAATTTCAGATCCAACTTGTTATTTTTTGTTACTTTTTCAGTCGGTAGAAAAGAGTTAAAGATTTTTTCGAAAAAAATATCTAGAAAACTGCGTAAAAGAACTCTAGAAACGTAATTTGATCTTTTCTTCTCACGGTTTCCGCTCAAAAAAAACGGAACACTGCAGTAAATAGTAGAAGTGGAAAAGGAAAAAACGAAAGACTGGAATATAAAATTGCGAGAACTTTTTCAAAAGTGATAAATAAACACATGGGGGATGGAGGAATGGCGTAATCTAGGAAGTCATTTGCAGAATAAAAAAAGAGAATGCAAGTGGGAGAACTTATGAAGTCATTCGCTTTTTTTTAGATCGGGAGGTCTTCCGATCTTTTGTCTTTTAGTTGAGATTTTCTAGCGTTTCAGCTGGAAAAAGAAATTAGTTATGAATGATTTGTGTCCAGAAGCATAAAGACAAGACTGTGGATCAAAAAGCAAGGGTCTACATGTTTTTTTAGAGGAGGGGACAGGAGATTTTTCAGGTTTTTTTTTGGAATTACGGTATGCATTCTGACATAACGGTGTACAATGATCAGTGTTCATCTGCCGTAGCTCACCTGCCATAGCTTCGCCCGCGTGGTTCAGCCGGTATGTGACGCCCACCTTCAGTACTCGTCCCACAATTTGAACCCTTCGAGAGGCTTATATGAACAAATTTTGAGACAGTTTTTTTCATGTCCCTCCTCCTTCAATGCAGAGAAATTTCTTTCAAAAGCTATCAGAGGTTCCTACCGTAATCCTACCACTAACTTAACCAGATTTCAACTACCATCCATGCAAAACGAAATAAAAGAGGAAGTGAACTAGATGCTCTGACCGAAAAAAGCAAGACACCCTTGGGTTGTTATCTATTTGAGGATCAGTGCGTGAGCACGGAAAGAAAAGATGTAAAGGGGAAAAAGAAGAAACGTTGTGTGGTCACACTACAAATGAAGCCAATTACAAGTAGGACGAAAAGAGGTGACGAGTAAGTGAAAGAGCAGATAGAGCAGCAAATGACCGCAGATTTCTTTTTTTTACTTAAAAATAAGAGAGCACATCCTCTTCAAGTACCTCCTTTGGTTATTATCATCAGTGATAAGAAGACTTACAGTCGAAATCCGGAGGAAGGAATACATTTTATTTGAAAAAATAACAATAACAAGGAAATTCCAAAGTAGCAAGATAATGTGTTTTGATGAATAACGGGGGAAAAGTTGATGGGTTCTGATGGGAAAATGAAAATTGTGAGGGTGGCGGTCTGGAGCAACGATCCAATGTTCAAAATTCTTTTTCGGTAAGAATACAAATATTTTTGAGTTTTGAGCTAAGAAAGTGGTATCTCCCTTTTTAGAAGTGTCCCTTGAGTTTGTGCAAGTTGGGTAAACATTATTGAGAGTGAAAAAGTTGTTGTTTTTTATTGCTGATTCTTTCACCCTTAGGTTCATCATCTATGATTCGTTCGCTTTCCGTTTTTTCTCCCGTTTCTGTTTTGTTTTAATGAACAGGAAAGGGCTACAGGCTTAATGCAAATTTTGAAAGATCTAAGTTCCAGATTTTAGTATGTTATGCTGGCCACCGGCCTTTCACTTCCACAGCTCCTATTTTTTGTACCAGAATCACAAGCACAAATCATAAAGAATCTAATTTCCAGATTATAATATACCAAGTCTATTGAAAACAATCCCTAAAAAGGACGTTTATTGAGCTCGAATTTCAGTCTCATTGCTTCCAGATGTTCTCAGATGCTTTGGTCAAGAATTTCAATTAACACTTCAATTTAAACAATATAGGATATTCCCTAAATCTGAAAGGATACCACTTGCTGCAAAAAAGAGAGAAAAACCTGAATCAAAGAAGAAGAGCTGATGACAGAAAAATGAAATTAATCATTTCTCGTCTCTCGTTTTTTTGCTTGTGGTTTAGATTTTTCGTCACATTGAAAGAATAACAATTGCGGACCAATTGGTTCCGAGTGTTTTTTCTGCTCTGCCGTTCGTTTTTCCACTGTCTGAAAAACCGGAAAAGGCGACAAAAACATACATAATAAAAATGGAGGCGGAAGATGTAGAGCTTTTTGGAAATGACAAAGTGTGTTGACTGATTTCTGAAACCCCTACTCCCTTTTTTGCTGGTTTTGGTTAAACAAAAAAAGGAAGAGTGACAGTGGAAGGACAATAACAAATTGTTCGGTAAGTGCAAAAAGGGAAGAAGAACTAAACGAGTTAGTTCGGGAACTGAGAAAAAGAGAAAGTGAGTTAGCTGAGTTAGTTTTTGTGCAAAAAAAGCATCTGGTACTTCATTGTTGCCAGGAAAGGACCTTCTTTAAACATCACTTCTCTCTTTCTTTTTTCTTTTGAAAACGTCATCAAGAGCTGGAAATTTGATCGAGGGAAGAACAAGTGAAGAAATCAGAGATGTTCTTACATTGGAAATTTTAGAAGGTTTCGAGATTTTGTTTAAAAAAAGAGGTTGAACAGGAAAAAGAGTGAAGAACATTCGGTTTCGGTTTCAAATTACAAAATGGGAAATGAGAATTTCTCAGATCATCAAAAATCGAAAAAAAAAGGATTACTGTATCGTATCTCATTCTAATTTTTGAGATTCCTGACTCTAGAACACACCCTAACACAGAAAACGTGATAGTTTTCAAAAGAAAAGTAGACATCATAAATTGAATTCGATGTTTAAACCAACCGAGATAAGTTTATTTCGAATCGAGTATCTAGGTCAAAAACTTGAAAGATAACCTATTTGATTTGGATTATAAGATTAAGTATTATTCCAAATTTGTCATAGTATTACCACCTATAATAGATCATAATCCAAAGAAGGTGGAATCAAGAAAATAACTATTTTGGCCCACACTCCCAGGGGGCATCGAAATAGGGGGCATCGTGCTCAAAGGGGGCATCCCACCATGTCTCATAGGGGGCACCGGACCAAATGCTTCCAGGGGGCATTGATAGTCTCATAGGGGTCATTGAGATCAATTCGAGTATATGATTCTGAATATGATGAATTTTTATTTCTACATCTTTTTCGTAGTTTTTTGAGGAAAACAAACACAATTGAAGACTATCGAAGGTGTTATTTCGGAGGGTCAACTGGGTAGAATTTCGGCCAAAAATTCGGGGGTACAATGATTCGGGCGTACAACTCATTTCATTCAGGGGTACAACGCTTGTGATTCGGGGGTACAGTTTTTTTTGAGGGAGTTTCTGAATTCCTGAATTTCAGAGCTTGAAAATCTCAGAATTCTTAGAATTTCAGAACTTTGAAATTTCAGTATTTCGCAATCTGAGAATTTCGGAGCTTCAGAGTCTGAGAATTTCAGAATTTCCCCTTTTCTTTAATTCTCCCGTTCTTCCTTCTCAAATCCGAGTAATTTTGGAAAACACAAATTTAGTCTGGAAAGTTTGTCTGAAATACGGTAGGCCTTCTCAGAAAAATGTAGGTTATATAAGAAAAGAAAAAACAAAGAACAAACTGAAG